ACGGGTACATAGAGATATACACTAGAATGTTAATTTAAAAAAAAACGTCATGTACAGAAAACTTACCGTGAACCGAACAACGTTGCCTCTGTTCTCAAGTTTATCATCACTTGCATAGAAGGTAAAAGTCTGCATGACATTTGAGCCCGACCTCAAGAACTCTCTGTGCAGCTGTCGGACTAAAATGCCGGACATAGACACATATTAATTCGTTTATTAATCTGACCATTTTTATTAGACAGTTTTCGCCTCCACCTTAGAAACAAATGCCTTTTGTCGAATTAATAGGCAGTATTCATCAAATGATGGGTGTAGTAAACGTATGGTAATAGTAAAAGGATACTTTGATAAGTGCATGCTACCACCCACCGGCTTCGGGATGCTCGGCCGCCGCCTCGGGGGTCCACGGCCCCGCTTTGACGTAACCCCGCTTCTCCAAGGCGAACACAAACCCCCCGTCTCCGATGACTATTTCGCCCTTGTCGAGGCGCTCCAGGATCCCCTACAGCGCCAAACGAAAAGCGTCAGCTGGCTCGCAAGTGCCTAGAAGTTTTAAAGTTGCGTTTTCACATCAGAAAAGTTGAGTTTACATCATTTAACCCAAATAAAGTAAGGTGTTTTGCGGTTTCTATTATTTCACATCTTTATGTTAAATGTAAAATTTTAAAAATATAAGCATAGGACTAAACCTCTCTAAACCGCTAAGTTATTTCTTTTACATGTCTTTGGAACACCCTATCCTAGTTCAGACTTAGAAATTGTTTATCGGTTACATTTATTTTTGTTGGAAGAGAGAGCAAAGCTTAATATGCATTAAAATTTGCACTCACCTTCTTTACCGGTGCCATTATTAAATGCAAAAGAACCTCCTGTTATGAACCCGAAAATGACACACGTTGTAGGCGCAGAGAAATTGTAGCGACGTTTCCGCGCTGCTCTTTATAAAGACCGAGGGAGGGGCTGTTTTCGAGGTCGCTCTGACACCTCGGAGCGGTTGGTAGTTTGTGTGCCATGTGATGCCATATTCCCCCCCCTACTGTCATATGACGCTCGAATGACCCATCCGACTTACTTTTTAGTAGTGACCTCTCTCATGCATTGTTTAATCCTTATAGTTCATACGTTTCCCTTCTAAAGACAATTCAAGCCATACATTAGTGGCCAAAATTGTGGAAACACCTAACATTTTTTGCATTACACTTTAAAAGTCACAATATGAATGCTTGCTGTAATGTTTATAAACAAATCAGTGTTCACAAATATACACTGGCCGATTAAATAAGTAACTGGACTGAATGCGTTTGTTTGTGCACGAAGTCAGTTTGTGCACGAAGTCAGTTTGTTTATTCTTTAATCTTCCAGCAGCTTATCTTGGATGGGGTGGCGGGGGTTGTCCTCGCGCGAAATGTGCCTTAACGTGATGATGGCTCCAGGCTTCTTGCTCTGTATGTTTGCCATCACTGACAGTTTATTTCCCCACCTATTTTAAAATAAGTATACAAATTGCAATGAACTATTTCGGTAGTTAAGCTGAGAAACTCGTTCTACCTGAAAACGACGTGGATGTGGATCCAGGCTGGTTTGGCACGAGGGCGTGGCATCATGTAGGCGGGGAACAGGAAGTGGACGACCCAGTGGGGGCTCAAAATGACAAACGAGGATTTACCAACAGACAGAAGAAGAAAGAAAAAAAAAAAAAAAACAACCACTAGAAACACTTAAGAGAAAAACAGACCACAAGGGGTCAAAAGTAAAAGGGGAAAACCAAAGACTAACTACAAATGGTACAACAACATGCAACAATGAACCACTAGGGAACTGCACTGAGGCAGGAACTTAAATACTAAGGGGTAATGAGACTAACACAGGACAGGTGAGGCTAATTAACAAGGGCTGGGAAAAGAGGCCACAGATGAAACTAATAATTAATCAGAAACTAAGCAGGGAAACTAGAAACCAACAAAGAAATAAGGAAAACAGAATCTAACACGGGGGAATAAGAAAGACAGGTAAAACACAATCAAAGCACAAAGCAAGAAATCAAAATGGAAAACAAACCACAAAATCACAGGAACTAGAAGAACCGATGATACCAATGAAACACTAGGGAACAAAATACAAAAAGAGAGGACCGCAGGATTCAAACACAGAACAGAGGGGTTAACAGGTAACCGTATGCTCAGCTTGTTGAGCCATGCTGCTGATGGGGATCCGGGGAAACACTACAGACTGATAACAGGGGAAGACAGGAAAGACTGGGACAAACAGGTGCTGACCCTGACACGATGAACTAGAACTAATTGCAGCAGTTATCATCTGCTTTATAAATTTAACCGGCAACTTACCATCTTTGTAATAAGTATTGCATATATGTATCTAAACGTTAAAAGTATCCATCCGTCCATTTTCTAAATGCCCTTGTCCTGCGTAATATTGCGAGATAAATAACAAAACATAGTTTTCCTTTGACGAAACAGACTAGAGAGAGTGCTGAAAAACTCTCAGCACTCCTAAGGCTACTGCTGAGAGATCTTCAGGCCTGGCTTTTCGGTATGAAACACCAGTGTAAACACTTTAAGGCCCACAGCTCTACAGTCACAAAAAGATTAATTAATTAAGGTAACACTTTACGTGAGGGAGCACAGATACATAGTTCTAACTATGTAATACTGAAGTACAAATTATGATCACGATTCATTAATGATGAAGAAACTAACAGTATTTCACTTGTGTTATTCATTATCTGTTCCTTCAATAGTTCCTTAGTGGTTCCTCAGTAGTTCCTTCAGTAATTCACAAAGATTTGCAGAATTAATGAATATAGTAACAAATATAGTAACTGCTTGAGATGCATCATGATTCATTACTGATGAATAAACATGAGATCTGTATTTCACGTTATTCGTTATTTATTCCATCAGTAGTTTTGGAAGGCTTATGGATATAACAGATATAGTGAATGAATATTACATTAATATATAGCGCTTTTCAAGACACCCAAAGCCACTTCAAGCACCACCACTGTGCAGCACCCACCTGATGATGCGACGGCAGCCATTCTGCACCAGTATGCTCTCCACGCAGTAGCTGTGGTGGGGAAGCAGGAGAGAATTCACCAGTTAGATATAAGGGACGATTAGGAGACCAGATCTGAAAGGGCCACGGTGGGCAATTTCAGCCAAGACATCAGGGTCCCACCGCTACTCTTTCAAAGATGCCCAGGGGTCTTTTATGACCTCAGTGAGTCAGGAACTTGGTTTTATGTCTCATCCAAAGGATAACATAATTTTTTCAGCACAGTGCCCCCATCACTGCACTGGGGCATTGGTACCCACACTGACCACAGGATAGACTAACCTGTTGGTCACACCAACACCTCTTTCAGCATCAACCCAGCTGTCCTAGTTGGTCTCCCATCCAAGTACTAGCCAGGCCCAAACCTACTTCGCTTCAGATGGATTAGCCTGAAGTGCAGGTGGTATGACTGCTGACAAAGTGGGAAATATAGAAATTGCTTGAGATAAATCACGTGTCATGAGTCGGTAATGATGAACGAACATGAGATCAGTTTGTAACTAAGATTTAGCTTTTGGTTAATTACTACACAAGGTGTCTAGAACAACGTCTACTGGACAGATGAGACAAAAACAGAGACGTCTGATTCACAGTATTATGTTTGGTGAAAATCAAACAATGTATCACCACAACACCTCATGCCAACCGTGAAGCATGCTAATGGGGGGGGGGGGGATTCGTTAAGCTTGTTTTGCAGCAAAAGGACCTTGCAGTCATCTAGTGGACAATGATCTCCCCTTAATACCAAAGTACTGTAGAGGCAAATGTGAGACAATCGGTCTAACAGCTAAAGCTTGGTTGAAGTTGGTTGAAAGCTTCTTTTGACGATGACCAAAACGCAGCAGCAAATCCACAGCTTAATAGCTGAAACCAAATGCCCCCAAACATTAATGATTAATGTTGAAAGGAAGAGTGGGGCAAAATTCCTCTGAAACAAAATGAGAGACTGCAGATGATTTCTTCAAGTAACAGTGCTGCCTGATTTTAATAGTAATTATGTTTAATGCTTCCAAAATTTCAGCATTGTTAATGGAAATAAAATTGAAAGGTCTCCAAACCCCAATAATGACGCCCAAAACAATTAAAAAAAACAAATTTATAATAACCAAAAAAATAAATTTTTATTTATCATAACATGAGGCAATTTTTCTTTGTTAATTATCCTAAAAATGCCTATTTGCACTTCTTCCTGTAAATAAATTGCACAAAGAGTAGATGCAGATAAATGGAGAGTCTGTGATGCATCATAATTACGCTTTGAGATATTTTATCACTTCTATTTTCACAGATAATGGTACTGAATCTTTTGATCTTTCAGTTAATTTTTTATTTTTTAGTAATGACCCACTAACCACTTTTCCTGGTCATATATGTGATACACGGACGTGTAGCACAAACTGATTAAAGTGGTTGTGCATTTCATTTTTCTTACCACTTAAATGGCGAGAAACTTCCATCCAAGATGGTCATTTGTTATAGAGCGGAAAACTGAACTGTGAAATGGCAGCAGTAAATAAGACTGTTCTTTACAGTGTTGGTAAATTAAGGGATGACTATTGCTGGTCAAAGTAGTATGACAAGCTACAGAATTATGTAGCAAGTATATAATACTTGGCTTCTGCATGTTGTCTAAAATTTGACAATGGAATCTTTTTTTGTCTTGCTTGTCCCCTGAGGTTAGATTTACCTCAGTTTGGACCAGGTAAGGCTCAATTTTTTTTTCTGATAGATAAACCACTGAACTGATAATGGAATGTACTGCCATTTTTTCACATCACTGTGATACAACAGAAATCTCATGAGAAATTTACCTGTCTGGTCTTTCTTTTGTAAAATTGATGTTATCCAATGAATATTCATGGTTTGATTTACAGCATGTGTGATAATACTGAAAAACAGCATCAGTCAGGTTTTTGGGTATTGAATTCAGTTTATTTGTATGTGTTTTCCTTTATCTCACAGCAAAACCAGCTGTTGCAAGAGCTTTTGAATCTTACAGTTGAAACTTGAAGGAATTCATTCATTTTCTTGTTTTAAGCTGGTAAGAAACAGGCAGGTGTAACCTCAGGTATCTCTGTGCTGGACCATCTCCCCAGACCCCATTTTTGTTCCTGTCCTGCTTTAGGCACTGGCTTTGGCTTTCTTCTGCATCTCCAGCAGGTGCTGCATCTCCTGCTTGCTGGTGACCTCCCTATGCTGGATCAGGTCAGCATGTCCCTTGGTCACCCCCCATCCCTCGGGCCTGGACATGGAGGGGCACGTGGGCCTCCCTGAGGCTGGCTGTAGCTGCTCCCAGTACTCACGACGTGACCTTTGCAAGGAAACCAAGCACATGAGCACAAGCTCTCCGTGTGCGATGGGCCATTAGCTTTACTTGTAAACCCGAAGCACTTACTTAATGTTATTAAACATCCTCAAACATAATTTCTATGATGTAATGGAAGTTATGATAAATGGAGGTACAATCCATTTATGAAAGAACATTTTTGGAGACATGGCCTTGCCCACGAGACGCCTCCTTGTGGTGCTTCTGGTTGCCCACCTGGCTCTGACCCAGGGCTTTGTGTGCATATCCAGGCCGCTGCCCCACATCCCATGTTTCTCAGAGG